CGGGATTTGGCTGTCTCTACTGAGAGCTTCCTTGCTGCTCGCTGTGTTGGATTCAGCTCGCCTGTTGTTTGTTCCTTGCGTGGATGGCTACACTTTCTGCTTTGAATGGTACGCTGTTTGTTTCAAAGCCCTCCTCTCTGATGCTCCATGAAGCCGCAATCCCACCATATGCACGCGGAATGAAGAACATGTCAGCTGCGGTGCTGGCCGAAGTTGATTTGCCCCTTGGGGAGAGAGCCGATGGCCGTTGAAGTGCTGTGACTTTGCCGGGGGTGTTCAGTGGGCTCCTGGTGGGTGCTATGTTGTCTTGTTGGTTCAGCAGCCTCACCGTGAGGTCAGTCGGCAAAGCTGGCCTCACAATGGTCAATGAAGTTCACGTGCAATTCCCAACGATTGGCATCATGGAGGCACAGGAGAGCCCGGCTATTCCCGATGTGTCGATATATCCACCCACGCTTCCCTGAAGGCAATGGCCCCCCTCGGCGCTCTGGCCCTGCTCACGCCCATCATGGTTGGCGTCCTGTTTGGGATGCACTTGCTCGTGGGAGTCCTGGTGGGCGCACTGGCGTTGGGGGTGCAGATGGCATTGTCCATGTCTAACACGGGCGGGGCATGGGACAACGCAAAGAAGTATCTGGAGGTGATGCTAAACACGCAATCGCACTGAAAAGCAGCGACCAAACCACACGTGCGCCATCCAGCGGCCAACTGCAGCTTGCCAAAACAGATAAATCCCTTAAAATACTTGACAACGCCATCAAGAAGAGAACCATCCAAGGCAATCTCGGCTTTTGATGGACTGCAGCCAGGCTGCCCCAAATTGAGTAGACTTTCCCGAGCAAAATCTTTCCTCCATTAGGCAATTTCTTTCGCTGCAGGCCAACGCATCCTTGGGTGCATTTATCTTCAGCACAGTTGAATGCAGCGCACCAGCAAGCTGCAATGCACACACGTTCAGACATTTCCGCACATTTGAAACCAACAGATGACCAGTAATTTTGGCGTTTCTTACCCCGCTGAAAGACTGCGCTGGAGGCAGACTTGCGTGGTAGGGTGTTGTGAATGAACATGCACGTGGGAGCGTGCGAGCATCCAAAATACATTGGAGGGAAGGGTTCTGAGGCCCACGCTGTCAGCGGTGACACGGTCGGAGATCCCATCAATGACACAAGTGGAAACTCGATCAACATTCCGGTGGAGCTCATGGCAGTGAAGCCCCTCGTGTTTGCTCCCTTCTTTTCTTCGGACGCGCTGAAGGGTGGCTTCATAGTCCACATATTCAGTTGCGAATATGTGGACTCTGTACCTACAACGGCCGCAACTCCGCTAAACGCGAAGCTCTTGTGTGAATGCTGCTGTCCAGTCTGGGGGCACAGTCGCGATGCACAGGACCCCGTGGAAAACTATAATGGCAACCAAGCACAATGAGCAAAACTATAAAATCACTGCACAACCCTCCACAAGAGCAACATCAGCATCAACAGGACAACAATAAGCCTGCCATGCGTGTGTGATCCCCTCCTTCTCAAGTTCAACCCTGTTTTGCTCAGCAAGAAAGGCTCCAATTAGCAGCCCTGCTTGCAGCATAGCTGCGATGTCGTCAAAAGTGTTGATGACAGCTGGCTTACGATCGTCAGAGCCAATGGTGCTGAAGGTATCGAGAGCTGCTGACCTGAAGCTGTGTTACTTCTCTCCTCAGCCAGAGCTTCACTCTCACTCAGTGACCCTATGCTATCATACGCACAATGTCTTGTGGTAACAGCCGTCTTCCCTTGGCACCTGTTTTCGTCCTACAATTCTGCCTGGCAACATTGCTCGTTTGCCCATTGACCCTGATTGGCTCTCTGGCTGGGGGTGAGGTCTGCCAGTGGCTTTTCCTCCGTTCGCGATCACCTTGCACGTAGACCAACCTGCAGACATGCCATTAATAAGCAGCAATGCAAACAAATTCCATAAGCTGCAGGGTGGTGGGTCCAATGGTTGCATTTTCATGGCCACTGGCAATCTTCAGCAGTCATCCGACACCGGGCTACTCAGCAGCACAATTCGAGTGCTGTTCCTGGCAAGAGGGGGTTTTGAGATCGTGCTTGCTGGAACTTGCAGATGGTCCAAGATGACAGGGTTGTTTCACAATCCAATGCTGGAGGCTGACGGCTCCACAAGGAGCCACCAAAGCATGTGGGACACGCCAAAAACTTTCCAGGATCCACAGGCAGAACAACAAAGGGCAGTCCATCATCCGATAGCGTACGCTCTCAGAGCACATCACGAGTTGCTTTGATGCTCATGCTATTGTCCCAGCAAGATGTGCTTCACCAGAAGGCCGCCTCCCTCGCCACGTTGAAAATCTCTCCCTCTGGAAAGGGTCGCTGATGAGGCGCCTGGCATTCTTGGTGGCCTTCTGCACACGCTTGGTGCCCTTCCTTGGCGTGGATTTCCACGTCTGCTTGAGCGGGGCCGTATGAATTACCATCCCGTCCCTTTCGCTCATGCCAACGGCTGCCGCGCTCCTCCCAAGCCCTGCACCGTGCCTTCCTCCAAGCAGTTGGGCCTGCAGTGGCAACCAGCAGATCAGTGCATGTGGCATTGTGCGTGGGCCTGTCAGCAACTTGCCAACCAGTGCCCCACCAATGCTTTTAGTTCATTATTCCAAAACACTACATCTCCTTGCAATTTCCAGGTGCCTGTCCTGGCACAAGATATGCGAGCTTTGTGCCACCCACCAAGACAGTGCAGGGCCACTATCCACCCACCAAACGCGTTCTCACCCAACTGGTGGGTCAGCCCCCGAGGGGGCACTTTCGGCGCTCAGGGGGAGGGGGGGGGGGCTCCAAGATCAGGATTGAGCGCCTGGGAGCTGGGAGGGCGCGATCCACGCCGCCGCGGCGCCTTTTCCCTTGCACCCTGCCACAACTTTCGCTCTCTTGGTAGCCGCAATCTGGCCAGCGGCCGCTGCGCGGGGCGGCCTGCTGGCGCGACAAGATCCAGCCTTTCCCCTGCCCCGCTCCCGGGCGCGCGGCCCTGCACGTCTGGGCCAGGGCGCCGCTGCGCCCCAGATTGGCGCGCCCTATCCACCCACCAAACGCGTTCTCACCCGGGTGGTCGGTCAGCCTCCAAGGGGACACTTTGGACACTCAGGGGGGGGCGGCTAGATCAGCATTGTGCGCCTGGGAATTGGGAATGCGCGATCCCGCCGTGCGGGCCAGGGCGCCGCTGCGCCATATTGGCGGCCTATCCACCCACTAAAGTGTTCCACCCGGGTGGTCGGTCAGCCTCCAAGGGGACACTTTGGACACTCGGCGGGGCTGGGCTCCAAGATCGGCATTGAGTGCCTGGGAATTGATAATGCGCGATCCACGCCGTCGCGGCGCCCTTCCCCTTGCACCCTGCCGCATTTTTCGCTCTCTTGGTGGCCGCGATCTGGTGAGCGGCCGCTGCGCGGGGCGGCTTGCTGGCGCGACAAAATCCAGCCTTTCCCCACCCGCACTTCTGGGGGCGCGCCCCTGCACGTCTGGGCCAGGGCGCCGCTGCGTCCCAGATTGACGCGCCCTATCCACCTACCTGCGCAAAGTGCTCCTCAGCGGGGCTCCGAAGGCTGTCCTGGGCGCCTCTCCGCGCGCCCCCCCGCCGTCTTTCCGCCCCCCAAGAGGACCGCAGGCGACGGAAAGCGCTCCGGCGATGCCCAGGCGCCCCTCCGCCGCCCGTGGGGGAATCCTCAGCCGAGTGGAGACCCCGAAGGCCGCCCTCAGCGCCTCTCTCCGCGCGCCCCGCCGTCCGCGTGCCGCGCTTCGCACGCCGGGAGGACCGCAGGCGACCGTCCGCTGGCGCCCGCCAGGCCTGATTACTCATGGAGCACGGGAGCGTTGTGCCCATCAGTAATTGGCACAAGGCGCCCTTGTGCCGCCCTTGTGCCGCCTTGTGCCATCAGTGCCCAGGACTTGGCTACCTGGGAGGCCCACATTACGGGTATACCCCTTACCGTGGGCGTGTATTGGCACTGTGCTGTGCTGGCCCTGTGTCAGTGAGACTGTGAACGACAATTTTTAACTATGGCCGCCACAGCCACATGAAGAGCAATAGTGAGGGAAGCAGAGAACCTTGTGGGGAGGGAAGCAAGGACCATGAACTGAAGCAACAAAGGAATTTGGTCCTTTCAGAGCCACCCTTTCGAATTCTAGGAAAGGACTCCTTGGGCGGGCGGTGCCAATAATGCCATGGTGTTTGATTGAAGGAGGAATGTCATGGCACTTGGAGTGGACTTGATAACATTGGTGATAACATTAATAACATTGGGGTGATACCACATGCAATGAAATGTTAGAATATTTGAGAATGCTTATGCATTGTGGTTGTACGTGATGTTGAAGTGAATAGCGCCCCCACACCCGACCCCACCCCACCCCTATCTTGCGCATCCCCCGCGCTATCCCTCGTGATCTACGGTACAAGGGATAACAACAAAACAAAAACAGGACAAAGTTGTGTATTTAGCCCTGGCTGGTTGCCATTTATCACAACGGATGTTGGCACACATTAGTACGTCACATCACGGATAGCAGACCAGCATATTGCCACCATGAGGACTGCAGGCACAGGAAGAATCTGGACAATGAAAGAACATCACCAGAGCAAACGCATGCAGTAGTGGCAGATTTGTTTTGTTGCCGAAGTCATTGGCCCTCACACGACCAGAAGCCCGACGAACATGCAACCGCGTCCTGAATTCCCTTGCTCCACATCAGATAAATGGTTTTCCGGGAGTTATGAGCGTTGGGCCGTGTAAGTGGTTTCGATGCTGTGCATCTTCAGATGCATGAATAGACTGCCCGCCGTGACCCAAATCCAAGCTCGGAACCAACAGCTGCAGCATTGCCATCAGTACGCAAGGACTCAGTCGCCGTCAGCTTCAATTGGGCACTCAGCAATGCTACAGGATACATAAGCAAAACCCAGTCTTTCCTAGCTCACAACTAGGAACGTTTGACACAGTAATGGCAGCGTTATTGCTCTGTTGCTTGTGCAGAATTGGAACATCCAGCATCAGTGGAGGGAGGCGTGTTCTGTGGGCTTTTGTGCCCGATGGGGCTATGCAGCCACTTCTCGTCACAATGAAGTTTCTTGGCAAGGGTCATCCTTGGACGGCACCTGAGCGCAACAGGCATGAGGGCGACCTTTAGACAACCATTTTTGAAGGCCGTTCGGCACTCCACATTCAAGCACCTCGGTGCTACATGCTTCGACAAGCCGATGTGCAGGGAGACGTTGCTTTGGGCAACATTGTTGTCAAACGCAGCGAAACAACAAATCGGCACAATATGTCTGTTAGCCAGTCACAGAGAAACGCCTTACAGGTTGTGCCCCCAGGCTTCAGATCAACATTTCTGCACAGATGAGACCCCAAACACAAATGGCGGAGCTCTTAGAAATGTTTCAGGTCTCTGTTTGATCAACGACTTGTAGTAGATGCCGTTGTTGAAAATGACGTGTGAACTCAAAGCGTCAACAATTTTGGGCAAGTAAATGTGCCAGGCAGTGATTCCGTTGATTTGCGACCGCCTTCTCATCACACACTTTTATTGTATGTTGTATATACAATGCGATACGATACATGCATGAATTATATACGATACAGTATATGCACAATTCCGTGCACTGACTAATCGTTTTCCGCATCCCCAAGGATCAGTATGTGTGCCGACAGGTCAGCTTAAGACTGTTAATCACCACCAAGAGCCTTCTGCGTCAACAAGCTTGTTATTTGCGTTTACGTTTACGTTTTTGCGTTAACGTTTTTATGCTTAAAATGTGAATTGGCAGAAGAGGCGATTTCTAAGGCTGTATTTACGTTTTTACGGCTCGTTTTCACACCCAGTTGACACGACGAAAGTTGCGTACAATTATCAATAACCCCTTGAGAGCGCAAGCACCGCAGCGTCCACTTCCTAATCGGCAAGGTCCACGACAGCGCGGAACAAAATTCGTTTTCTGCCCATTCCAGTGCTCCTGGATGAGCATACAGCCCCGAACACTGTAAATACTGTCCTTATATACACGTATTTTTAACGTTGTATTTACGTAATTATACGCGGTTTTACGCGCCAAACTAAACGTTAAAACTAATTTTGCGTGTAAAAACCTAAATACAGTCTGTGTTTACGGCGTACATGACAAGCCTGTGCCTCAATGCTTGCCGCGCCAACCTCAGCCAAATAAGTTAAAGAAGAAAGTTGGATGCCCAATAGAGCCACACAGGTCGCCAATTCCAGCAAGAATTCCTTGCTTAAAACGGCTACACGACCCTTCCATGCAAATGCGCTGCTCATACATTGAGCGAGAGAAGTGCCAAATGAATTCAAAGTGCGCCTTCAGCAATGCACGAAAACATATGCACAATTCTCCACTGCCGTTTATGCGATACATACTTCAACGGATACCAGGGCATTAATCCTAACATTGTTTCAGGTTCCCCATAAGGGCAGTCTGGGATTATAATGGCGGCAGGGCTCCTGCTAGAGTCCCTGATGTTTTTTGTGCAACACGTCCGGTTGGCAGCAGAAAACACGCTTTCTGGACGCACATGGGCGGCCTTCCCCAACAGCTTTGTCAACCTGGTGCTGGATGGCATTTACAAATGAGCTATTCAGACTCTGGTCACTTTCTGTGGGATGGCCAAAATTGACTGCGTTCAGTTTCAGTTGTCATGGATGTATGCATGCAAGAATTGCACTGCAGTGCAGTGACTGCACACGAAGGAAGGCATGGTCTCACTGTGTCTTTGCAAGATGATTGCAGCACACGATGGTGATGACGATCAACGAGGTGGCACAATTGTCGATAGGGATACTGCTGTGACAACAAAATAGATACAGGAAAATGCGACACATTGAGATTCCACCTCCTGCAAAGTGTTTGACATATACTTTCCCGCTTCAGAAATGATTGGATCGTTCAAATACAATACAAATGCGTATATGTATAAACGCATATATGTATGCATGTGGACAGCAATGAAGACATGACTGGCCAACCATGTTTTCGAGGGGATTCACATGAACATGTTTGAATGCTGTAGTCGTGAGATGAAGTGTTCTTTGCGTTGGAACACAACAACAGAAATTGTTCGCCCAAATACCCAGCGAAGTTTTAGTGCGGTGTTTGTCCGGGCTTCCCTGGATGTGAGCCAAGCTTGTCATACCTTGATTTCGACATGGACAGAACCATACCAAGGAAGGGGCCACGCTTCGAGCCAAACACGGTTGAGCGCATGTCAACGAGGCTCCTGAAGCCACGCAGATTGCTGGCCTCTGAAGTGCTGCTGGCCTCTTCGCCTTGGCGAAGTATGCAGCACCCTCTGGTCTCCAGCAGGTGCAGGCATTTGATCCACTCAGAACCCCCTTCGAAGTCTCGGAGTTTGGGACAGCCTCTCAGCTCGAGCACGTGAAGGTGGCTCAACGACCCCAGGGAACGAGGAAGACTCCCAAGGCCAAGACCAGTGCATTCGCCCACAAACAAGCCGCGGAGCTGCTCCAGTAGGGAAATATCTGGCAGAGATGCCAGACCCGAACACCCGGTCAAGTTCAATGTTCGGAGACGGACGCATGCCTTGATGCCTTCCGGGATGCCCCTTAAACTGGTACAGCAACTGAGATCCAACGTCTTCAGCCTACTCAGTAGGCTGACCTCCTCAGGTATGCTCTCGAGGTTTCGGCATCCACTCAACAGCAGTGTATGTAGCCGGTTCAGCTGTCCCACAGATGCAGGGATTCGGACAAGAGATGAACAGCTGTTCAAAATCAGTGTGTGAAGTTCTCCCAGGCTCCCAATAGCATCCGGAATCGGACAGTCACTGACACAGTTTGGGGCATGTGCTTGGAAGCATCCACTCAAGTCCAAATGCTGGAGGTGCTTCAGTGACCAGATGGCCTTTGGTATGTGTGACACACGTGAACAGCCATTCAAGCTCAAGAATCGGAGCTGCCGCAGTGCCTCAATGGCCTCTGGAACTTTGCTCAGATTGCAACAGCCTCTCAGATCCAAAGTGAATAGTTCACTCAACAGCCTGATGGAATCTGGCAACATTATGAGGCTACGGCAGTCACTCAATTCCAGCCTCTGAAGTGCACTCAGACATCCTATGCTCGCTGGAATGTGGACAAGACCATAACAATTGCTCAAATCCAAGTATTCTAAAAGCACCAGCTCGCCGATTTCATCTGGAATAGAGTTGAGACAGTTGCACCCTGCCAAACTCAACGAGCCAAGCCTGCTTGCCCCGCCAATCGCCTCTGGGATATTGGATAGCTTCGAACATCCACTCAAATCCAGCCGTGTGAGGCTGCCTAAGTTGCCAATACTTGCAGGAATTTCTGTGAGACGTGGCAGACCACTCAAGTCCAAACACTGCAGCTCACTCATGGACATGACCATGTCCAACAGCACAGGATGGGCTGGGTGGGACAGGCCATGCATCGTGAGTTTTAAACACCCTCTCAAATTCAGATACGTCACACGGCAGAGGTCCCACAGACCCTCTGGCAAGGTGAGCAACGATTTGCATCGTGCCACATCGAGGTTTCGCAGATTCACCAGTTGGACGAGAGATTGTGGAACAGATTTCAAAGCAGAGCAGTCCTCCAAGTACAACGAGTGCAGCCTTGTGAGCTTTCCAAGGCGCTGTGGCAGATGTGTGAGCAGCCTGCAGGTGCGAAGGGACAGGACAGCAAGCCTCTGTAGATTGACGATTTCTTCTGGCAGAGCCTTCACTGAGCAGTGGTCCAGTCTCAGGACCTCCAGTGTTGTCAGCCCACCAACGGTCTTCGATACTTTCTCCAAATGATGGCCAGACAAGTCCAACACCTTCAAGTTTGTCCAAAACTTTACCACAAGTGCGGAAAACATTTGCATCTGGTGTTCTCTCAGTATGAGAGAATGAGCACTTGCTGCAAGGTCCCTTGGCTGGGTTGGGATGGGCAACGTACAACAGAGTGCAACTTTGTCTTTGTCCTCAACTGAGAGAGCAGGCCGCTCATTGTTTGCTGCTGCCATAGCTATGTCCCTGATCAAGCTGTGCATGTGGCAACCTGCATAGCGCAACTGCTCTCCCGGCCTCTGGTCTATGTTGATCATGGATCGGTCCTGAAGTTCACCCAGAACTGCAAAGCCATCTTGGCATATTTCATTCCCATCAAAACCATCTGTCAACCCATCTTTCAAGGCCATCCAATGTTCCACCAAATCTGCCGCTTTCACATGGCAGCCATCAGCATAGCACACCAGGCAGGTGATCATGAGTTTCTGGTCATCATCAAGGGCATCATAGCTGGTTCGCAATGCTTTCAACACCCCTGCATAATGATCAACCTGCTTGCTGGGTTGCTTCAATTTCCGCAGTCCAGATTGCCACTCCTCTTCCCTAGTATAGCCAGCAGCCATGGAACTGATAGTGCTCAAGGCCAATGGGAGCTGTCCACACAATGCCACCATGTTATGAACCAGATGTGCCCATCTCTGCTTGTTGCCTGGCACCTGCCCTACACCAAACATCCTTCTGCAGAACAGCTCTTCTGATGCCTTCCTGTCAAGCATCGGTACATCGAAAATTGCAGAATTTGTTCCAAGCTCCCTTGGAACTCTTGCATTCCTTGTTGTCATGAGCACTTTGCTCTGCTCGTTGCTGTCAGTGACCAGCAGCTTTTCAACATCGGCTGCATCCCAGACATCATCGAGCACCAGCAATGTACACCTGGTTTTGAGAGTATGCAAGAATCTCTGGTAGGAATCGTCAATGTGACCATGAGGTACATCTTGTGATCCTTTGACCTCCCTCCAGATTTCCTTGAGCAGCTCCTCTCTGTTTGGTTTCTTACCAACTGTGATCCATACAACTTGGTCAAATTCCACAGAACAGCTGGCTTCATTGAACACAGCTCTGGCCAAGGTCGTCTTGCCTGCAGGAGGAGCACAGCACACCACCACCCTTGGCACATATCAATTTGCCCACATTGCTGGTCTTGGATATACTCAAGAATGAAGATTGGCTAGCAAAGCATCCCATATGAGCAAAGTTTCCTGGTATTGACTTCTTCTCCGCTACAAATCGAGAAAAAGCAATTGTGCACCTAGATTTTGAGCTGGTCCCCAATGCCACCTGCAAAACCATGCAAAATGCAAGGGGAATGGACACTGCTAAACCTTTCTTACCTATCCCCCCCATACCAGACAATGCCACAATTCTTTTGTCAGGCTGCTGCAGGTAGTTCCACACAGCCTCGATATCATCGCTGCGCTTGATGTAATGGGCTGGAAGGTGCATTCGCCACATCGAACGTGCCGCATAGGGTGGTGAACGTGGTTCTCCTGAACGCTGTGCTGTAGCTGTTCCCACTTGGTGCAAGCCAGGCAGTCCATCCATCGCTTCACGAGAATGTCGAGTTCTCTGCTGCTCCAATTGTAAAGATCTTTGCAGGCGTCTGGTGCTAGACACTGCGGCAGACTGATCGGCACCATGAACACAATGTCAGCACAATTGCCCAAGGATTGAGTGCCCATATCAGGATGCGTTCAGAAGCGATGTCAAGACACAGAACACCCTTTCAATCAGGTTGTGGCCAGTGTTGCTTACCAGAGTTGCTGCTCTGTCAGCTTGGAAATGCATCACAAGTGCAGAGCAAAATCAAGGCCCATGAGTGTCTTCTCTGGCACTGTTTGAGTGAGGATCAACAAAATTCCGCAATACACAGCATACAAATGTAGCTTGCAATAGATCTCTGAAACAATCTAAATTTCTGGCTGGTAGCTGCAGAAAAACACATGCTGGGGTACTGACAGCACATTAGAAGGCAATTTTCCGCCCTGCCATACCTGCTGGCCACAAATGAGCAAAAGGGAAAAGGCAGCAACAATAGTGCACAGCAAAACCACCTGGTAAGCACAAAGATAGAGTGTATGAGGACAGCATGATGTTGAACCCAGAAACTAAGTTCTTCTGTTTGCCATCAGTGCAGAACACCCTTATTGTGCAACAAGACACCGTGCCTTGCAAACGCATTGCAAGAGGATCTGACTATGGACCTGATAACTTGCCACCTGTGCGTCCCGGCACTGGTGTTTCATGTGATGCAGCATAGACTGGCACAGCAGTCTTCCCAGATGTGGAAAATGAAAAATCCAGCAGCTGATAGAAGGGAATGCATTGAACGTTACACATTGACGGTATCCACAGTGAGTATCTAACGCTTGGCTGGGAATGCAGCTTCAATCGCCCACAGCTGGACTTAACAATCCTGGCGATGGCTTCTCAATTGTGGTGAAGTCTTACGGCAAAATGTGCACATGCGACTCCTGATTCAGCAGTCTAAACTCCTGACAAGACATTTCCAACTTTGCTGCAGTTCGGTGTTGACATGGTGAACATTGGTGGCACATGTGGGCCAGGGCACCCCTGGCACATGTCACAGCATTGCGGCGATCGGAGGTTCTATACACGCATATCACATTGTGGCAAGTCCTGATGCTGCATGAATGGCAGGATGGGTCACAGTGCAGGTCTTTTGGTGAATAGTCAGCAATGAAATGCAATTTTACCACCAGCGTAATAACTGTAAGTGTCTTCAGCCTCATATTCCACGCCTCCTCAAGATCATCCACCTGCAGATGCACAAATGCCCAAGTCAAAATTAAAAAATTGTCATGAATCTGTAGCCCCCTTTCAATACTGTAGATGGTGGAAAGTTTCCGGGTGCAACAAGAAAGCGGAGTGCCGAACTGTAATCTTGGGATGTTCAACAGACAATGATGGGATTTCCTATGCCCTTCATGGCCTGCGATTACAAGCAGCTGGGAAGCATGGAAGAGAAGCACACATGGATATCTGGATACAAGCATCGCACACCACACAAGTTGCCAGTTTCAATCATATCTTGCCAAGGTGATTCTTTCTGCCACTGACAGGGCAATCCGTGCCATATTGGGCAAAGCTCAGATGGACTTTGCCATGGCTGCATGCATCAATCTTCGGCTGATCCCAGCTGTCGATTCAGCTGGGCTCTGAGCATGTGCCCACCAACAACATTGGCCTAATCAGCCAACTTTCAACAACGGCAACTGTTCCGTGGTCTGGACCCCAACTTCAGTGGTACTGTACACAAAAGGTCATGAATGGCGATGCCCTGCAAGCAATCTGGGGCAAAATGTGCACTCTATATGGCAAAAAGCACTACATACTTCGAAGATCATGCTAAAGTCTTGCCTTGGGGTTGTCCAGTGTGAGGCAAACATGGCACAGGGTGCTAGGCATCTACAATGACAGAATTCCTCTAAGCCTGACATAACAGTCTGAGAACTTGTGTGGAAAAGCATCTTCCACATAAGCACCAGACAGAAGCTTCCCAACAGAACATGATGGTGCAGGAGCTTGTGCCGTTCACTTCAACATTCCTCATGTGCTTTTCTCAAGCTGAGTGCTGGTGCCTAGCAGCACATGGATTGGAAACCACCGGCAGAGTTGTTTTTCTCCTACAATGCGATACTGAGATTCTCCACAGGAGTGTGCCCACATTGCACATCCTGCAGTACAAGCATAATGGTTTGGTCACCCTGCACATTGTTCATTAGACTAAGATTAGCTCACTTGCCACAACATTTTTGACACCACCTTTGAAGAGCTGAGGATGTCACGTATCCATGCAGCATGGACACTCAGAGCAGTGTATGCTGCACTGTACTGTTTCAACTTTACGAGGCAGTCTTTCTCTCCAAAAGAAACCAGCCCTGCAACTATATCCTTCTGCGGGTCCCCGTTGTCAATTTTCCCCTCCTTGTCATCTGCGATCACAAGGGGGCTGCCTGAATCACCTTTTCAGGCACACATAACTTTCAGATTTTGACTCCCATTTATCATGTCAATCACAACAAGAGGCGCAGACTGGTTTGCAAGGCATTCCATAACAATAGGCAGGCTGTAGCATCACCCTCAATGGCAAGATGCGCCTGAAAAAACTGTTCTGCAAGTTGCTAGTGAATTGGAAGCTGATCTCACGATGGCTGGTGAGCATCTGCCTTTGAATGTGGCAACACGCAACAGAAATTCCACATCAAGATGGAGCACTAGATTTGTTTTACCTGGACAAGGTCGTGCTGCACTTGAACAAACGCACATCATACTGGGCTTCAAATGCTCTTTGAAGTCTCCTGGGCACAGTTCGTTCTCCACCACCCGCATATCATCAGCTATTTCAACATAGTGTGACTCCCCGATTCCGTAACTCCTATCATGCAAATGATAGGATGGGCCCCATCCCAAGAGTGACACAATCGTGTTGGGTATGTATCGGGTGTTGTCGTGGGGGAGTCTTGGGCACTGCACTTTCCTCACAGGTTGGGACAGCTTCAGCAGTGCTACATCAAACCCGTCAAATACTTGTCCTGTCCAGTTGGGTTGGTATATGACATTGTCCACTGTACTACCCTGAAACCAAGATGCCAACGACTGAGGACAACATCCATGATCTTTCAGATATCATTCACACAGTATTTGGGCATGCACTCTCATCACCAAGTGATTGTGTATTACAAAGCTGTTGTCTGCTCACCAGTGCATCTGGGCCATGAATACAAGCTTTCTGCCGGTTTGTGCCCACCCAATATTGGGAGTACACATTGGCTGCTCGCAGTGCTGTTAATATTTCGAAAAGAACTTTTCTTGCTGAAAACCAAAATTCGACATACCTGGCTTCACTGTAGCAAGCTTTGGTTCAGCCTGCTTGGCAGGTTCCAGCACAGGCAAGACAGCTCAAAAAGCAAGTGTAACTGTATTCTTTGTGCCCCACAGATGATCCATGCAGAACAACTTGACGGTAGGACACAGCGTTCATAACATCTGGTGGGGTATGGAAACCAACAAATTTGTCAGAGACTAACACCGGTGGTTATGAACAGCAGCTGAAAACGCCCACTGTGGCTACAACATGGGAAATCCATCTTTGGCCCATCTTTGCCATCTTTCGTCAGCTGTCAGTAAGTCTCACCTTGTCCTTCATTTCTGAGCCAATAACATGAACAAGCACATCATGATCAACTGGCTTGATGCAATGAGCAGCAGTAAGTACAAACCAAGGATCGATCAAGGCTCCGCCACACTGGGGTTCGAAGCCCTGGGGTATCACAGTCACCATGTAGGGGAATCTGGCCGCCCTTGCTCGCTTTGCACCCTGCAAAACACATTGCACTCAAAAGTGCAACAGTTAGAAGCCACAACTTCCTCCAGTGTGTGGCCTGTATCATTTGTCACAGCATGTGGTGCTTGATCAACATCGCCCACAAGATGCAAGGCCTATTTTTGCTTTGTGTGGGCAACTGCAATCGGCTGACTGTAGTGTTGTACCTTGAAGCCGGCAGTTGGTACTGTGTACAAGCTGACAGTGAGTCTGAACATGATGCTGTACCGGAAAGTTTAGGCACAAGATAGTGCAGCAAGTCCACAGTGCGAGCAACAAATGCAAGTTATTCTTCACAGAATGCTACGCATTTGATTTGAATCCAAGCGATACACTGGTGACTGCTTAAACAAGGTGTCCCTACTTGCAACAGCAAGCATTCCTGTATTTTTGGCACTTTCCACAGTTGACACTGAAGCATGCTTTGAACATCTGCACATCGCTGTTGTGTCCATGACCAAAGCAGCCATTTGCTCATCTGTAAACACAGCTATGAAGTAGGGAACAAACAAGGCCTTCAGTATGATGCCCAGAAAATAGACTTACATAGATCAGAGCGCCTATTGTCCTGCTGCTATTTCTCCAAGTGTTGGACTCCAGACCAACTACAGGTCCCTCCTCACACATCTGCGATGAACAAGCTCCTGCAGGAGTCACTCGAAAAGTGAGATTCATGTATGCGTGCAATTCAGAGGGCACTCATGCAACACCCATGCATTTAGAAGCACTTGGCTGCAATACAGACAAACAAATGGCCACATGAAACCACTGAGACCTTCCCTGACTATGTTTCAGAAGTGCCTAAAGGTGAAACAGTGATATCAGTGCAGTTTCCTTCCAAAGGAGTTTCCAGACAATATGGTTTTGAAGCCTTCATGGCCAAATAACTACAGCATGCATTGCTGGTTCCAGGCGCTGGAGCATCCAGCATCCCTGCCGGTTCTGACTAGCCTGTGCAGAGTATTTACTAGAGGCTGTCATACCCTCTGACTGGCAAATTGACTGATGGCTGAGCACTGCAACTAGTGCCTTTGCTCAAAGGAGTTTGACTGCATGCCTGAGTCTGTGGTCTCTGTTGACAGCATGTTGAAATCTAAAGGAGATTCACTGTGCATTCCTTGACTGCTGCATGTGCTGGCTGTATCACAGTGGAACAATCTGACTACTCGCACCAAAACAGCTGTTCCCAGAGTGTGCATGTCTCCTCACACTCAGCTCGTCAGACTAGATTGCGCACACCTGGCAACAATGGAGGCAGGCAGCTGCAAAACCCTTTGTCTGCTTCTTGCAACAGATGACGATGCTCGATACCGCATGACACGTGGAGAGCACCGTGGTTCGTTGTGTCCTGGTACTTACAGACAATGATCATTCAGGCAGACAAGGGACATTGGGGTGGAATGCCGTACCTTCTGCATCACCTCTTGCAGCAGCAGCGATGTCTTCTTCCATCAGATCTGGCTGAGGCTTTGACTCTGGTTCAGACACGTGAACGAACAAGGTCGCGGGCAGCGATGAGCACAGGAGCAATGCGCGCAGGAGAGCCTCTGTATTCCTCCCCTGTAGACGCCCTCTTCTTAGTTGCCACATGGAGCTGGGAAGGGAGCCTGTTCCTCCAGCAGTTCAACATCCAACAAGTGGTCTGTTATCCTCGCAGCCTTCACAGCCGGCGCGTGCGATCTCACGAGCAATCACACTGCTATGACGTCATTTGCGAACGCACGCCTTCCGGCCAGTTCGGACACCTGCGCAGCAAGCGCGTCCAGCCGATGCCCCCCGCCCCACCAGCCACATATCTGATGGACGTCGCGATGCCCATCAGAACGAAGCACGAGGCGGAAGCCGCTGCGCACCACCTTCCGTCCGGGCTACAGGACAGGCGGCGGACAGCACGGCCTTGAGCGCGGGAAGCAGTGGACTCCTCACCTTCACTTCGAGATGTGCAGGGAATCTGGAGCGGGTTCGTGGGTTTGCTGGCGATCACCCCGGCGTGAACACGTGCGACCAGCGTCCGCCTTCCGCTGCACAACAGCTCGGCCCTGGCGGTGTGTGCTGTTGTTTGTCCTGGAAGTATTGGTGTCGGGGCCCCAGACAGGTTGCGGTGGGATCCGGTACATGTCAAACTTTCCAGTTTCCAGTTTCAAACACCCAAACGTACCGCATATGTGGCGAATTTTTAAGTACCCCTGAAGTTTTCGTCCACTTTTTGATTAGGGACTAATACGATCGATGGGAACATGCCTGATTGGCTCTGTCAGGCTGTGGTGAATGAGTATTCGGTTGTGCTGCACATGGAGTAGCGAATGACGAACTAACTCCCTTGTTTCGTTGATCCTCAAACCAGGCGACCATCACTGATGACCTTCCAACCCACATCCCTTGGAGCCCTTGAACGGCTGGGTGGCTCCCTAACCCCAGCAGGACCTCTTCTCGACTCCAGCACCCTGTGGCTGTGCCATTGGAGACGACTCCCAGAACTCCCACCTTACTCCCGGATTGGATCACCAAAGTCGGGAGTAAAGCACTACGGCCGGGAGTAGGATCATTAAGGCCGGGAAAGGAACGCTAAGGCCGGGAAAGGATTGCTAAAGGCCGGGAGAGGAGCGTGAAGGCCGGGATTGGATCGTCAAGGCCGGGCGTGGATCATCAAGGCGGGGAAGGAACCTTCATGCTGGGCTTTGATTGGATTGATGTGCCGGGTAGACTCTGCGCTGGATTTGAAGCTGGGAGTTCTGAACACAGCGCCATGAGGTTCAGGAGTCTCTGCGTTTTACTCAGATGCGAGCGTGTGGACGGCGGAGCCTCCATGAGCTATCTAGGAGTAATCACGCTGATCCGGGAGTAATGCCGTCTATCCGGGAGTAATGCCTTCGAATATGGGAGTTGTCACTTTGGTGCGCCAGGGGGTCGGGAGTATCGTGCAGAGGGCTCAAACAGGGATTGTGGTGCGGATTGGTTGTCAGGGATTGGTACGCTAGGACATAGAAGGTTCTTTTGTACTGCATCCGGGAGATCTGCACGTGAGGGGACGCGGCACTCGGGAGTAATGTTGTTTATAAGACAAACATTCCGTGTAAGGCGGCGCATATGGGCCCACCCTTCTGAACGTTGACTTGAGAGTTTCTGCTTCTAACTGCGACTCCATCCCCGTTTCCCTTGCCGTTTCCCGTTTCGCCTGCGGGTAAGGAGGCGACCGCGGTGTCTCCCATCGATTGGGACCGCATTCGATTGCCCATCAGCCTGAGGAATTGGCTGGTCTGGCATTTACGGCTCTGCAGCAGGAGCGCCTGGACTGCATCCGTTTGACACGGCAGAGGTACGTTGGTGAATGCCACACATATGTTCACGTTTCCTTTGTTGAAATGTATGAGGTTCCCTACGAGCACGAGTAGGGAACCGAGCTGTCCCAGCGGGACACGTGAGGCTGGTCCCCGACTGTCACTGACCCATCATTCAAGCACATCAACCATCACAATGTCCAATTCCCTACATATAGGAGGCACTGCCTATGCCCTGTGCGCAGTCTCTTCATGCCCTCAGGAAGCCCGGCGCAACGCTGCGCTATGCCCAGCGTTCTTGTAGGCTGCCGCTGCTCGCCACGTTGGTGTGCCCATGCTGGGCAAAGCCCGCAACACCTTGAGCTCAGTTGCTCATCATCGATGCCATCGATGGCGAGGGCGCTGAGAGTGGAGCATTTCGAAAATTCAGCTCGTGGCCAACCGGAGGGAGCCCGATGGAGGTCCGATCTTGGAGGGTAAGGTGCAGCAGCGCGTTGCCGAGCGCAGCCTCCCTGTACCGATCGCTGCCTTTGTGGAAATGTGCACAATTGCCGGAATGCAATATCCGCAATTCCGTTGGCATGCACAGATCTCAGCGCCCAGGTCTTGCCCACCTGGCAAGCAAACACGCCAAAAGTCTCGTGTGAATGCCTAGTTTCCATCTCCCTCTCGAGATCGTCGTTGCGGACCTGGTCGCCCTCACCAACCTCCTCGCCATCTAATGTCCATGGCCGTCTTTTCCTCCATGGCGTCCATGAATGACAGTCTGAAGCACGGGTTCTACTGCAAGCTGTAGGCCCGTGCCTTCGCGCCCCCCTGCTGACCCGTGCGTGTGAGTTTCTACCTTCTTTCATGTGCTTCCATGGTGCGCTTGCCGTGGGTGGCAGTCTGCCAGGAACTCATCGCCAGCTCTGGTGCCCCAGCGTCTCACGTAATCCCCGCAACCCGGGCACCCATAGGCAGTGAGGACCCCATACGCGGCGCTTGCGGGGCTGGCCATGGGTGTTTGCCTGGCAAACTTTGCCACCACCCCGGACGCCCACAGCCCCATGTCCCGCCTCCTGTGCCAGGGCATGGGGGACGGCCACCTGTGACTCAGCACAGGGGCAGGAATCATGGATTCCTGCCGCATGTGACTCAGCACAGAGAGCAGGAATCTGGGATTCCTGCCACATGTGACTCAGCACAGGGCGCAGGAGTCTGGGGTTCCTGCCATATGTGACTCAGCACAGGGCGCAGGAATCAGGGATTCCTGGCCCTGGGCCAGGGGAGGGTGGGTGGGACACGGCTGAGTCCTCCGTGTAGAATCCCCAGGATAATGGCGACCAAATCGAGGCAGATTGGCAGCAGTCGGCAATGTATTACAACGGTGGTGGGCCCCCTGGTCCAGACAAGGTCGAGTGCACCGGCGAACTGAGACAAATGGCCTATGGGGTGCCCACTTTTATAGGTGGCGCGCTCCCCCTCTCGTCATGGCACCCTCGGCCTCCTGTAATGTCCAATACACTCATGTCATGCCACCCTCGGCCTCCTGTAAGGTCACCTCGGCCCTTGGAGAGCCACTCACATGGTCCCTTAGCCCCTTGGCGTGCCCCTAGTAATGGCAGGCGGCTTCCCCAAGCTATACCACGTCCCTCCAATGTACCATGGCCGTAGGGGCGCTTGTACCTGTGATCCAATGTAATGCAGGTACCTGACAGGTGCCCGTACTGCCGGATCAACCCCATAATCCCTTGGAGTGTACTCCACCACTTCCTGGCGGCTCCCTTCCGCCCATGACCGCGCACTACATCATAATAGGCTATAATGTTCATCATCACACCGGTTCCATTAAGGAATAATGCCTCAAATGGCCAGAAATGGGCTAAATGACCTAAATTGCCTTAATGACTTCATTATACCGAAAATTGGCCCATTTAACAAGATGAACGTGGCGATCATGATTAACACATTTCTAGATTCAGATGAACACATCTAACTCATCTAAGTCATCTAATTACCCGTCAATGTACAGTACGGTGTCCAGTCACTACAATCTCCCCCCCTTAAACTAAGCATTGTCCTCAATGCGGCCGTAGTACTCCTGGATCTTCTCTTGCGCGTTGTGGAGGTTGTCTTCAGGCTCCCAAGTCGCTTCATGGGCAGGGTAGCCTTCCCAAAAGACGAGGTACTCCTTGACGGTGCGACGTCCGCGCTTTCGCAGTCGATGGTTGACGATTTCCTCGACGAAATACTCCTCGTGGCCGTCCGTAAAAATGATTGCTTCGGGAGGTTGGGAACGTCTTCTTGCATCTTTTGGCGCTCGGTACAACTTCAGCTGAGAAACATGGAAGACAGGATGCACTCGGATGTGCGCCGGCAGCTCCAGCTTGTAGGCTGTCGTGTAGCACTCCGCCACCTTGAACGGTCCAATGTACAATGGTCCAAACTTGTGGCTTGGTCCAGCTCCAGCAATGTTGAGGTACTTGGTAGATAGCAGAACTTCATCACCAACACGCAACTCCAAAGGTCTTCGCTTCTTGTCCGCATAGCGCTTCTGTCGCTCTTGAGCCTTCGTCAAGTTGTCGCGTGCGTGCAGTAGATCCTTGGACAAAGTCTCCATCCAATCCTCAGCTGTGACATTCTTTGTCTCCGCTCCAGCCAACAAGTTTGCAGGGTTCACTGGATGTCGCCCATAGCAAAGGTAGAAAGGCGTAAATCCAGTTGAAGAATGCACGGCATTGTTGTAGACGAACTCCACCATGCTCAACCGTTGATCCCAGTCGTTGTGTCGTCTTCCCACGAACGCTCTCATGATTTCCTCAATCGTACGGTTGGCCCTCTCCGTTTGGCCATCAGTTTGAGGATGAAATCCCGATGACATCGCCAAAGTTGTTCCCATATTCTTGAATACTTCCTTCCAAAAATGGCTCGTGAACTTGCTGTCACGATCCGACACAATGGTCCTCGGCAAACCATGGACTCGCACAACGGAATCCACAAAAATCTTAGCCACATCCACAGCAGTGGCTGTCCCTTTTGTTGGTCTCAGCACCACCATCTTGGTGCCATAATCCACCATAACCAACAAAGCATCATAACCGGATCGGGTCTTTGGCAAATGAGTGATCAAATCCATGCTCACTTTCTCCCAACGATTGTGAGGTATTTCCAGCGGTTGCAACAACCCAGCACTTCTTTGATTCGAAGGTTTGTTGCACTGACATGCATCACAACTCCTCACAAACTCCATCACATCACTCTCCAAAGAAGGCCAATAGAAATCCCGTTTCACCAGGTCAGATGTTCTCTTGATGCCCAAGTGACCCGAAC